GAGAATATATTTCATTAGAGAATTTCACTTTGGGTTTTGAAAATTCAGTGACAGACATGGGTGGCACAAAGTTGGGTTGTTCAAAACATCAATGTCATTTTGATCTGTATAGTCCTTATTAAAATTAATATACATTTTAGATGACAAATGACTTACACATCCAAACACAGTTAACAATATAAACGATACTACTTCGCCCAAAAACATAACTTTGATATCAAGTGTGTGTAATGAAATGGAATGATATATTACATACCTGTACAGGAGTCAGGGTTACATGGCTTGCTCTCAATATCTATACCGTCACATTTGTCACTTATCACCCCTGTGATAGGATTTTCACAATCTCTACTCCTTCGTTGTACACCACCATTACATGTAACAGAACAATCTCCCCATGGTGTCCATGGCGACCAAACATCTACAGGTGAATATTCCGTGTAAGTTAGTTAATTTAGCCATGATTGAAACCACCATTCAAGCACAGCGATTGTAAGTAAACTAAGATTATCATATTATTATCATGGACCTCAAGTCTGTTGCAACAGAAGTAAAACATCAGGTCTCAATGTCAAACGTCAATGTCATTTGATGTGATTCATACATTCTCAAATATGGTAACACTGGAAAAGTATACCGCTATCTATATTGTGAGTAATGCAGAAAGGGAGAATGGATGTTACCAGCATGTAAGAGAGAAATTATCATTACTGTTTTTGAGTTCTTTCATGTGCTTTAACCACAGTTGACGCAGACACAACAAACAATTCATACAACCATGTCACAATATCTAAGTTGTACATATTATATGTGTGGTATGGAGCATATAAAATAACTTTTAAATTAGCAAATAATCTGGGATACTAGATGACTGCTCCAATAGATATGTTATTCGCTCAGATTACTAATTAAGTTTCTTTTACTCTATTTTCCTCTCACTACATATTCACCATGAACATACTCACCAGAAGGAGCTGTTGTCACTTCTGGAATACTTATTGGTACACCCGGTGTTGGAGTGGCTATTGGAGAGATAATTATGCCAATATCAATGATTTATCAAGAAAACCAATTTAGATTTAAAAAACAATTAATATTATATTGAATATCATTAATATTCTGTCCATCAATACAGTAGTCTCTTTTTAAAAATCACATCACATGGCAGATATCATGGTGACAATGTTTTTTCTGCGATAATGTGTTTGTGCATTATTAGTAAGTGTACAATGCATTACTCACCACAGTCGAGGTGTGTACAATTCAAAATTCCACTTTCACAGGTACTGACAAGTAAAATAACAAATAGATAACAGATTACTATCTCACACAAAAAACTAAATCATATTATATATTAAGTGGGTTTAAGTTCATCATAAAAATATTTTTTTTTTATCTTGATGATCTTTACCAACTTACAAGAGTGAAAATTTGTTAATGTTTTATGTTTAAAAATTAATTTTAATGTTTTAGTCTCACCAATTATTACAGTCAGCATGGAACATTGTATCTTTATCAATGTATTGTCCAAGTGGAGGTACTGTAGTAACTACTGGGGTCACTGCTGAAAATATAAATAGACAGCAAGTAAGCACTGGCAATGGAAATCCTGAAAGCATTTGAAATGATGTACATCATGTGAAATTTTGCTTTGAAACATGAAAATGTGTAGCTGTTTGCATACATACCTACTATAACAACAGGACCACCAGGGCCTCCAGGGCCACCTGGACCATAAGGCCCACCAGGTCCACCCGGTCCACCAGGACCTCCTGGTCCATTTGGTCCTCCAGGTCCATCAGGTTGACCAATATTTTTAGGCAGGGTTATTTCCGCAGGCAGAGAAGGTCCATTTGGTCCACCCGGCCCATCAGGCCCACCTGGTCCACCAGGCCCACCAGGTCCTCCAGGACCCCCTGGCCCTCCAGGTCCACCTGGTCCCAAGGGTCCTAATGGGTCACCAACATTATCAGGAATTTCTAGTTCTTCTTCTGGTGTTGGTGTAGGCCCACCTGGTCCACCAGGTCCATTTGGTCCACCAGGCCCATTGGGGCCACCTGGTCCATTTGGTCCGCCTGGGCCATTTGGTCCCCCAGGACCATTTGGTCCACCTGGTCCACCAGGCCCTCCAGGCCCTCCTGGCCCTCCGGGTCCTCCAGGACCACCTGGTTTACCAACATCTGGTGGTGTAGTCTCATCTGTTGCAAGAGTTGGTCCTCCAGGACCTCCAGGTCCACCAGGACCACCAGGCCCACCCGGCCCACCGGGTCCACCTGGACCACCAGGACCAAGTGGTTTGCCGGGTTCACCAATATCTTCTGGATTTACTTCAGGTCCACCAGGTCCATCAGGTCCATTTGGTCCTCCAGGGCCATCTTAAAATATATATACATACAGTATTTATATATTTATAAGCCAATGTCATTATTTTTTATATTAAGATTATTCCTTTCATAGAATCCATATTGTTTTTTGTTCATAGTTATTATTAATTAATTTTCCAAAACCAGAAAATAATAAACCTAAGGATATGACCTTCGCTATAATTTCCCAATTTATCTGAATACTTATGTATACAACATTGCTAAGAAGCTATTGTCTACAAGAGGTTCACTCTGAATGTTTGCACATGTTTTCAGTGTATATATGATACATATATATGATAGCATTCAATAGGGAATTTGAAACAACATATTCCAGTAAACTGAATGCACTGCCAGGAACAGATCTGTTTTAAGTAATGTACCAACAGTAACTAGATGGTAACGTAATCTGGAAAGAAGGGAAAATTTTAAGAGCGTTCTCAATGTATCATTACTCAGTTGAAAATGATGGTTCTGTAAAAATATATCAATTAGATGACAAGGTGTACAATGTCTTACATGTATGTATTGGATGTGGAACATGTAGGCAGTCGTGGGTGAACAGCGGGTAATAATATAATTTTTGTTTTATTACAAATTGTGAATTTTTTGACGGTATAATTAATTGTTTTATTTAATTATACTTTATTGTAATTGATGTTTTCAGCGATATTATTATCTTAAAAAGAACATGCCAAATGAAGATTTATTGTGCATGTATTATGAAGGATTTGGCATTGACACTTACTTGGCCCTCCTGGTCCACCTGGTCCACCGGGTCCCCCTGGTCCCATTGGTCCTCCTGGTCCACCTGGTTCACCAGGTTCTGCCATTGCAGGTGTTATTACTACAAACAGATACATATAATGGCTTAAGCAAAAGATTTGATACATGTTAGTACATTTAGTTACATGTACTAGGCAATTATATAATTTAGTTTTTTATAGTTTATGATATATAGAAGTTTTACCTGTACTCAGTTCAGGTCCGCCTGGTCCACCAGGACCACCAGGACCAAATGGTCCTCCAGGACCACCAGGTCCAAATGGCCCTCCTGGGCCATAAGGACCACCAGGTCCACCACTTACACCAATATCATCAGGTAGGGTTACACCAGGTGCTAAAGACGGACCATCTGGTCCACCAGGTCCATCAGGTCCTCCAGGTCCACCAGGTCCACCTGGTCCTCCAGGACCCCCCGGTCCTCCAGGACCACCAGGACCCATTGGTCCTAATGGTTCACCAACATTATCTGGAATTTCTAGTTCTTCTTCTGGTGTCGGTGTGGGTCCGCCTGGTCCACCAGGCCCATTTGGACCACCTGGTCCGTTTGGACCTCCAGGTCCGTTTGGCCCTCCTGGTCCATTCGGTCCTCCAGGGCCATCAGGCCCACCTGGTCCACCTGGACCTTGTGGGCCCCCTGGGCCACCGGGTCCACCAGGACCTCCTGGTTTCCCCACATCAGGAGGTGTTGTCTCATCTGTAGCAAGGGTTGGTCCTCCCGGCCCTCCTGGTCCTCCAGGGCCCCCTGGTCCACCTGGCCCTCCAGGTCCTCCAGGTCCACCCGGACCAAGTGGCTTCCCAGGATCACCAATGTCTTCTGGATTGACTTCAGGTCCACCTGGTCCATCAGGCCCATTCGGACCCCCAGGACCATCTTTACAAAAGACAAGTAATGATTATAACAGTGTGGTATGTATGGTTGTAAAAAAAAACATGTATTACTTTGTTCATTTGTGCTATTTGTGCTTAATGCAACTAACTATTCAATCAATCAATCATAAACATTTATAAAGTGCCTGAATCCAAAACTAAGTTTTGTTCAAAGGTGCTCAGATTAATTATTATTATTAATTAATTATTCCACAATGTAGACTTTGTTGAATATATAAGTATATTTCTAAATAAGTTGACATCGTTGACCTGACAACATGTCCAATGGAAGGGTGTTGAAGAGTAGCAGTATGTGAAAAGGCACATCCCCCATATGATTTCACTTGATATTAGGTAGTGCAAAGAAAGTTCTTATTGGAATGAAGCTTACAACTGTGTGTATATAAATTAACGTCACAGATGTATTTATGTATTCAAATGAGTATCTTTAAACGTAAACTAAAACACCCATAAAATTATCGTTACCTAATCTTTGTGAAAATGAACTATTAAAATCGTTTGTAGATATTTGAAACAGAAACAATACATACTTGGCCCTCCTGGTCCATCAGGTCCACCTGGTCCTCCTGGTCCCCCTGGTCCCCCTGGACCACCTGGCTCACCAGGCTCTGCCATTGCAGGTGTTATTACTGCAATAAAATTGCAATGATTGCTCAATTGTTGTATATTGTGTGTTTACAATGTGCTGTACAGAACAGTAATTTGAAATAAAATATTACTTTACCTGTAGTCAGTTCTGGCCCACCTGGACCTCCAGGTCCACCAGGTCCAAACGGCCCTCCAGGACCTCCAGGTCCAAATGGCCCTCCTGGGCCAAAAGGTCCACCAGGTCCACCACTTACACCAATGTCATCAGGTAAAGTAACTCCAGGAGCCAATGATGGTCCATCAGGCCCTCCTGGTCCATCAGGTCCACCTGGTCCCCCTGGTCCCCCAGGACCCCCAGGCCCTCCTGGCCCACCAGGTCCACCTGGTCCCAAGGGTCCTAATGGTTCACCGACATTATCTGGAATTTCTGCTTCATCTTCTGATGTTGGAGTTGGTCCACCTGGACCACCAGGTCCATTTGGTCCACCAGGTCCATTTGGACCACCTGGTCCATTTGGTCCCCCAGGTCCATTTGGTCCACCAGGCCCATCTGGGCCACCTGGTCCCCCTGGTCCACCTGGTCCTCCAGGCCCACCAGGTCCCCCAGGACCACCTGGTTGTCCCACACCAGGTGGTGTTGTCTGGTCAGTAGCAAGAGTTGGTCCTCCTGGTCCTCCAGGACCTCCTGGTCCTCCTGGCCCTCCGGGTCCTCCAGGTCCTCCTGGGCCACCAGGACCAAGCGGTTTTCCAGGTTTGCCAACATCCTCAGGATTTTCTTCAGGTCCACCAGGCCCATCTGGA